CCACACCTAGCAGTGAACAAGTGTTAAAAGAACCATTTTTGTGCATAACATTAACAGCCTAAAGAACTTTTTCCACTATAAAGATAGAATGGAAAGATTCCATGGTTGTTAAAGCTTCTGCATGGAACCATAAATGCCAATAAAGAAGCTTTATTTATAAGAGCGTATAAAAGAAAATACTTGTTGTCTTCTACTGTGATGTGACAAACAAGATGGTAAGAGTCTTAATTAGTGGCACTTACTAAGCCTAAAATCTTTGCTGTTGTTTGTTTGTTCCGTGCTACACAATTTGTGCTAAAAACATGAAACCTCAAATTGTATAGCTTGTTGAGGTGTGCAATTACTTTTCTGAGGTTTGGACTTACCATTTCCAAGGCGGATGATAAAACAGGAAAAATACCATAAGCTTTGAAGAAGGGAGCTGAGCCATATCTAGACACCAGAATTGCATATATACTTTGACTTGGGTCAGTAAGCAACCAACTAGCAACCACTCAAAACACTCTAGCATCCATATAGCAAGGTGCAAAAAGTGAAGTAGAATTTTATGTTGTCAGTGCAGCAGTGATATGTAAAAATTAATGTGCCAGGAGCCAGTGATGTGTGTGTAAATTGTAAAGAGATGAGGACCTAGCACTGAACCCTGAGGTACCACCAATGGTGTGATTTAAATACCATTCACCTCAAAGAAACCCTGAATGATGTACATGTAGAAAGCTGCAGAAAAGTTCATGTTCATGTTGTCAAAAGTTCATATATTCATGTATGCTGTACACTTGTTTGATCTTCATTACTTTGTCCAGTTCATCCATATAAATAAAGATAACAAATACATTAATATATACACAAATATATTTATGCATACACTACTGTTCAAAGGATTGGGGTCAGGAAGATTTAATTTAATTGTAAAGAAATTAATACTTTTATTCAGAAAGGAGGCGTTAAATTGATTAAAAGTGACATTTATAATGTCGCAAAAGATTTCTATTTCAAATAAATGCTATTTTAAACTTTCTATTTATCAAAGAGTCCTGAAAATAAAAAATAGCAGTTTCCACAAAAATATTATTAAGAAATATTTCTTGAGCTGCAAATCAGCATATTCAAATTATTTCTAAAGGATAATGTGACTGGAGTCTAAAGACTGGAGTAATGATGCTAAAAATTCAGCTTTGCATCAGGAATAAATTACATTTTAAAATATATTACAATACAAAACAGTTATTTTACATTTTAATTTCTTACAATATTACCAGTTTTAATGTACTATTGATGAAAAAGTGAAAGTGACGTGACATATGAAATGGAAAGTGATGTGACCCATACTCGGAATTAGTGCTCTGCATTTATCCCATCCAAAGTGCACAGCAGCGAACACACACACATTGTGAACACACACCCAGAGCAGTGGGCAGCCATTTATGTCGCGGCGTCTGGGGAGCAGTTGGGGGTTCGGTGCCTTGCTCAAGGGCACCTCAGTCGTGGTATTGAAGGTGGAAGAGAGCGCTGTACATTCACTCCCCCCACCTACAATCCCTGCCGGTACGAGACTCGAACCTGCAACCTTGGGGCCAATCTCTAACCATTAGGCCACGACTTCCCTTTGAAATAAATGCAGCCTTGATGAGCTTCTTTCAAAACCCCAGATTTTGTATATACATATATATATATAGTAGTGTATATACATACATAGTCTATGTCTGCAAAACTAGCTTCAAAGGTTTTAGGATACTGCAAAATATCAGTTCAGTCAAGCGTGTCCAAACTGTTACTGTATCTCAGCAGTAGTCTTTCCAGAGCAAAATATCTGATTCGGTTAAGTGTTTTTTTTTCTGTGTGGTGGTTGGAACTGGTACCATTTGAACATTTTAATAGTGCTGTTGATGCTTGTTAAAAACAACATGAACCAGCATTTGCAACACATTCATCTTAACCTGTCAGTCAAAAATTTGGACACACTTGACTGAACTGATATTTTGCAGTATCCTAAAACCTTTGAAGCTAGTTTTGCAGACATAGACTATGTATGTATGTATTTACACTACTATTCAAAATCTGGGGTTTTGAAAGAAGCTCATCAAGGCTGCATTATTTCATCAATAGTACAATAAAACTGGTAATATTGTAAGAAATTTAAATTTTAAATAACTAACAAAAAAAACAAAAAAACACTTATTCGAATCAGATATCTTGCTCTGGAAAGACTACTGCTGAGACACAGTAACAGTGTCGAAACGTTTAGACCCGCAGTTCGCTTGAAGAAGAAAAAAATTTGACCGCTATAGCTGCCTATGTGCTAAATTGCTCCTTTGGGATTTATAAAACCCGTCGTACTGTAACCTTTAGATATGACCACAACACTAAATACTGTGATTTTTATCTTCCAAAACTATTACATCTTCAGCACTGTCCAAATCTGTAGGAATACTCATACAGTAAATCAAAACAATTAAATACGAAGAACATATGCAATAATATTTTAAGCATACTGCATTTGTAGTTTATTGACAACTTCCGGTACAAAATGTGTTTGATACCATTGTCACATCACATAAGGGAAACATTAAGTTAACTAAGAAAAGGTAGATTTAAAAATACAAATATAAAGTTATTTACAAAATGCTTAACTGAAAATGACCATTATCACCAGATCTCGTCTAGCTGTTATGATTCAGACTGAATTTGCTAGGTTAAGGCATCCATGTGAATTCACACTTAGAAAGGAGATATAATTAGATATATTAAATGTTAAATTACATGTGATGCTTTGTCAATAATGACTGTGATTATTTATGAACAAAAAACATAACTGTTAGAGGAGAACCAGCGCTGCATGTGATACAAGTGTGATTTTGCCAGCTGTGACTGACAGAAAAGATCATTCTGGTTACTAAAATGATAAACTACTGTACAGGACAGGCAATCAATCCACTCACGACCACACCAAGGTAGGCTGGTTATGTAAGAGCGCACAATTACCCTGCTTTTAGCCTTAAAGGTGAAGTGTGTAATTTCCGAAACACTAGTGTCACCAAATGGAATTGCAAAAATAATGACCCAACCATCGGCACGATCCCCGTGTGCGAAAGGTCAGCCGAACTGATACCTGTAACTCACACCACTGGCTGAGAGAAAGTGCCACAGAATCAGTGTTTAAACTTTTTAGGGAAATTAACATAGTAATGGTTTGTTTTACTTGCAAACTATCTGATCAGATAACAAGTGTACCTGTTTAACAGATGAACAGATTTTTCTCAGTTCCAAATTGAAAAAAATCACCAACCTCAGACATTTTAGTGGGAAAAATATGAACAGTTGAGACTTTTTAACACTGACAGCAACAGGTAAGCAGAGGTTTGCAGAAGAACTAACAAAACGTGCGTTTACTTTAAAGCCAATTGTGCCTCCTGGTGGCTGGTTTCCTCATTTTGTCATTTAATAAAGGTAAAAATTCTACATTGATGTTTTACATTTTAACCAATAACCACAGTTTTAACCATTATTTTTAGGATGAATAAATTGACAACACTTTATTTTACAGTGTCCGTATAATTAATTATTAAAATAAAAACAATTACTCTGTGCAATTACAAAAATGACATATTACTGAAATGGCCAGCCTGCAGTCCAGATCTTTCACCCATAGAAAACATTTGGCGCATCATAAAGAGGAAAATGCGATAAAGAAGACCTAAGACAGTTGAGCAACTAGAAGCCTGTATTAGACAAGAATGGGACAACATTCCTATTCCTAAACTTGAGCAACTTGTCTCCTCAGTCCCCAGACGTTTGCAGACTGTTATAAAAAGAAGATGCCACACAGTGGTAAACATGGCCTTGTCCCAGCTTTTTTGAGATGTGTTGATGCCATGAAATTTAAAATCAACTTATTTTTCCCTTAAAATGATACATTTTCTCAGTTTAAACATTTGATATGTCATCTATGTTGTATTCTGAATAAAATATTGAAATTTGAAACTTCCACATCATTGCATTCTGTTTTTATTCACAATTTGTACAGTGTCCCAACTTTTTTGGAATCGGGTTTGTATATTAATAATAAATGTACACTACCGTGCAAAACCTTGGGGTCAGTAATAGTTCATTAAATTTTTTCAGTATTCTTTAAAGAACAAAAAAGTCTAAAAGAACATTTATTTGAAATATAAGTCTTTTGTAACATTATAATATCTTTACTGTCATGTTTGATCAAATGAATGGGTCCTTGCTGATTACAAAATAAAAATGTAAAAATGTATGTAATAATAAAAAAAAACAAAATCTTGCTATGATAGTGCAGTTAATGAACATAGTGTGTTTTGTATGTAAAATTTATGTCTTGTAATTGTTTTTTTTATAAACATTTGATATGTCATCTATGTTGTATTCTGAATAAAATATTGAAATTTGAAACTTCCACATCATTGCATTCTGTTTTTATTCACAATTTGTACAGTGTCCCAACTTTTTTGGAATCGGGTTTGTATATTAATAATAAATGTACACTACCGTGCAAAACCTTGGGGTCAGTAATAGTTCATTAAATTTTTTCAGTATTCTTTAAAGAACAAAAAAGTCTAAAAGAACAACATTTATTTGAAATATAAGTCTTTTGTAACATTATAATATCTTTACTGTCATGTTTGATCAAATGAATGGGTCCTTGCTGATTACAAAATAAAAATGTAAAAATGTATGTAATAATAAAAAATAAAAAAAAATCTTGCTATGATAGTGCAGTTAATGAACATAGTGTGTTTTGTATGTAAAATTTATGTCTTGTAATTGTTTTTTTTTTATTGCAATTTTGACTTTTTTTCTCTCTGAATTCTGCTTAAAAACCATGGGAAAAATATGTAAACTTAATTTGCAAGAAATAAACCTCCATACTGACTTGAGAACGCTTTGTAAAATAGCTGGAAAATGACAGAGAATGAGGGAGAAGATGCGACTAACAAATCACTATACGCTGTAGTGCTGTGGGCCAGGTCTTAGTCTTAGTGATACTTACTGATTTTCTGAAACAGCTCCTCTATGTTTACTGCATTTCTGGCACTGGTCTCCATAAATATGGCTGCAATGGACTCTGCAAAATCTTTTGCCTCTTTAGTTGGAACTTCCCTAGAATAAAAAAAACCCCACTGAATATTAATAAACGATCAGCTCACTCACAGAAATCATCGAGTGTTTGCTTAGCCTGAGGAACGTGATCAATTGAGGACATGAGTGACACAAACATCAGAGGGGATTGTGGTAAACGAGCACTGGACTGCCTGCAAATGTCAAATAATTATACAGACGCAACGGCAGATATTTGGGAAAATTACGAGGGAAAAGTGATTGAAAAATTCTAAATGGAAAAGGCTTAATTAACAGTGACACGGTCTCAGCAAAACTATCATTGAAGGTGCAGTTTGCTGCCATTGAGATGTGGCGAGTCCAAGTTTCTCAGAACTGAAAAAGCTTAAATTAAACTCTAATAATAAAGAGAAACAGCATTCGCAGGCCATCTTTAACCACCACAATGTAAAAGCAGGACATGTGTTTATACTTTAGGTATTGACTGGATAGCAAGTTGCTACGTTTTAATTATGAAGTTGTGAACATTAGTTATGAAAATCTTGATGAATTTGATTTGCTCTTAATGTGCAATTTTGATTTCATGTAAAATGATCACATAAGACGTAAGAAATATGAAAATATAAGCTGAGCGGCTGCAGGTTTTGTTAAGAAATTAATACATTTTCAGAAAGAGGAAGAGGGTTTAAACCTGATATCACCCAGATCGGTTTTATTTCCTGCTATAGCCACGACTATATGCTCCGGCCCGTGTTCCTTCAGCTCCTTCACCCACTTCTTTAACGTCTGGAAAGAGTCCTGTAGACACCAGACACATCACAATACACATACATTTCATTTAAGTATCAACTTTGTCTCAGGTGCTTCTGAAATTCCACAGGAGATCAAATGAAATAGACGACAATGAATCAGTAATTGTCATCCAGTAAGAGTGTAGAGCTATAAAATTGAGGATACCAGTTAGAAAACGTGGATAGCAGCTCAGATCATTTGATCTTGGATGAATTTGAAGAGAAATATTCATACTGTCATCTCTGACTTTTGTTTTGAAAATTTTGAGCAGTGTTTGAGACATTGATGTGAAATCAGTTTAATCTCCATTCAATCTCATTGCTTTCTGAGAAACAACTGATATATAGGCAGGATCTCATTTGTGATTTTTCTTTCAAAACTTCTTAATTTCTCCCATGATTATAAACAAATACACACAAAATGACACATTTCAGTATACTGCACCTTAAACACAGTTAAGCATGCTTTTTAAATAGAAGCAACTTGAAAATGAATTGCACAAGCATACTATAATACAACTTACAAGCTTTGTGATGTCGTAAACAACGACGGCCGCTGCAGAGCCCCTGTAATACATGGGAGCCAACGAATGAAACTGCAGAAAAATAACATTTTGTTAATGTTGGGAGCTTTTAAAGATTAAGATAAAGGCAAGCATCTCTATTACTTTTGCTCTTACATGGGGTTAGAGACTTCTATCAAGTTTTGCAGAGGAAAACACCACTCACAATTTCTTTAAGGGGTCATCGGACGCCCATTTTCCACAAGATGATATGATTCTTTAGGGTCTTAATGAAAAGTCTGTAACATAGTTTGGTTAAAATTTCTCAATGGTAGTGTAAAAAACACCTTTTTTACCCTGTCAAAAACAGCTCTTTTCAGAGCAAGCCGTTTTGTAGTATTTTCCTTTAAATGTTAATGAGCTCTGCTGACCCCGGCCCTCTCTTCCGAGCTGCTCTCTGAGGGACTGTTTACTTTAGCCGCATTCATCGTGAAACTTGCTGATTAGCACATTGTTAGGAAAGGCGATTTGCAAAGATTCATTAAAAAACCTTATACTCACTACTTGGAGGTAAAGCTGGATCGCGAATGATTCGCGCGAACATAGACGCATTTAGGTAGATCGGGGGCGCGTTTGTTTTTCCCTTCAAAAACAAACGTGATTCACTGCGTCTTCAGCGGCTCAGATGTCGGGAGTAAATGACGACTGCTATGTTCATTATTACATCCAACAACAGAACACCTCAATCGCTTAGGAGTCATTCTTGTCTACATCTGCTCCGGCGGTGAAACAATGGCGGACTGATGACAGTCACTCAGGGCGGGTCTAAGGTAAGACACCAGTCCAGTCTGTGCTGAAACACTACTGTCAATCAAACTATCGTGGGAGGGGCCTGTTTTTGTGACGTCACACAGACAGGCATCTGAGATCGGCTCAATTTGAGAAAGGGGTAAATATTTTAGTAGATTAAAAAAAAAAAAACACTGGGTGGATTTTTATCATTATAGGGTGGTCTAATGGTTAGAGAGTCGGACTCGTAACCCAAGGTTGTTGGTTCGAGTCTCGTACCGGCAGGGATTGTAGGTAGGGGGAGTGAATGTACAGCGCCCTAGGTGCCCTTGAGCAAGGCACCGAACCCCCAACTGCTCCCCAGGCGCCGCAGGAAAAAAAAAAAAGGCTGCCCACTGCTCCAGGTGTGTGTTCACGGTGTGTGTGTGTTCACTGCTGTGTGTGTGCACTTTGGATGGGATAAATGCAGAGCACTAATTCCGAGTATGGGTCACTTTCACATTTCAGTTCAAACAACTTGTAAAAGTGCATGTAGCATCCGATGACCCCTTAAAAAAAAAAAAAAACCATGTAGCTACTGTAGTATTGTTTTAATAAAGCATATTCGGATGACTTGTGGTGCAGGAGATGTGCTATACAGAAGATGATGTAAAGTTCAAAAGGAGACACATATTTTCCGAGTGATCTGAACAGACAGTAATACTGAACATACAGACGTGCACACAAAGTCATGCCAGCACTTCCCAAACTCACACACACCCGATGAGTCACACCTTCAGTGAACTCTTAAGTGTGTGTGTTGGAAATGAAATGTGATTTCTCTAAATAACAACTGTGATGTCAAATGTGACACAGAGGTTTGACTTAGAATCATCTTGCATCGTTTAATCTTGTGTTAAAGGGAGAGTTCATCCAAAAAATAAACTTTTGTCATCCTTTACTCACTCACAAGGTGTTCCAAACAGAAATAAACGAATAAATGAACTATTGATTTAGGTTGTGAGTTAAGGGGCACAGATACACTTACAAGAATCCAAACATGTTAAACCTGTGTGTGTATATGTGGGTGGAAAACAGAAGCTGAATGCTATGGAATCATGGGATGGAGTGTTTTTAGCTAATAAACTCTGTTCGGGTTGCATGAGATAGAAGTGGATGGGCGAATCTGCTCAAAGATCTTCAAATAAACATGCAGAATTATGACATTAAAAAAGACCATCTCAGATGAAATAAAAATGAACTAATGCATACATAAGTAAAAGTTTCATATACCGAAGCTCAAATTTCTAAATAAATAAAACAAAATAAAAATTCACTCACTCGCTCCTGCCCTGCAGTGTCCCAAATCAGAAACTTGTGAAGTTCATTTCCACAGGGGACAGTCTTAGTTAAAAAAGAAGCACTGAAAAACAGATTATATTATAATGATAAACATATGATTTGATGATAATAATAATAAATACAATTTTGATAAAAAAAAAAATATAATATTCATTCATATATATATTAAGACATTAATTTGTTTTTTAAATAGTATACATGTATATAAACTGTGTAACACAGTCTTCATTCAAGGAGGAAATTACATCACAGTGACCATGACTAAAATATGAAGAAAAAAAAGTTTAAGTGCAAATTGTGCAAAGCTAAAAATATTCTTTTGTCCAAGTGTAATGAGTAACCTAACCGAGAGAAATCAGCATGTGCTGATGTAAACAAAACTGAGAGGAAACAACTGAACTGACTCTGAATCAGCTGTTCAAAACTGTTGGTTTGACTCATGAAGGTATATTTAGAAACACATTCTTCCTCCTCTAGATGAGTTGACGGATGTGATTTCTTCACCTCACCAGATGCACCTACCCTATCGTTGGACTGATGTTGTGGTCAAAGTGATCTTGAACGAATCGACACACGATACTTGATTTCCCCACGCCTGTGTCCTGTGATTATGAGAAAAACAAAAGCACTGAAACATCGTGAAATATCAAATATATGATCAATGTTTAAATGTCTTTCGCTGTATGACACATGACTTTAGACTATTATAGACCTAGATCAAATGATGTGGACATTAGGAATTTGAGATTTCATGTTTTTTTTTCTGCAATATGTAATTTCTGAAGTATGCATACTGTACACTGTATGGAATAAACACCTCTGTATGTAGAAAATACCTGGATGACATACTTTTGCCATAACACACAGCATATGACTACATCATGCTGTACAAAATACCATATCCACAAAGCACTTAAAGGGATAGTTTACCCAAAAATGAAAATGTGATGTTTATCTGCTTACCCCCGGGGCATCCAAGATGTAGTTTCTTCAGTAGAACACAAATGATGATTTTTAACTCCAACCGTTGCAGTCTATCAGTCTTATAATGCATGGCAATGGTAACAAAATCTATGAGAGTAAAAAAAACATGCACAGACAAATCCAAATTAAACCCTGTGGCTCGTGACGACACATTGATGTCCTAAGACACGAAACGATCGGTTTGTGCCAGAAACCGAACAGTATTTATATCAGTTTTTACCGCTAATACACAACTATGTCCAACTGTCTTTGGGCGCGCGCACGGCATCCGGTCGGCATCCGGTGCGTGAGGTTTTTTTACTCTCATAGATTTTGTTACCATTGCCATGCATTATAAGACTGATAGACTGCAACGGCTGGAGTTAAAAATCATAATTTGTGTTCTACTGAAGTCACCTACATCTCGGATGCCCTGGGGGTAAGCAGATAAACATCACATTTTCATTTTTGGGTGAACTCTCCCTTTAACTTGACCTTCAGTTTCTAGTGAATAAGTGTTTTAAACTTTTGTATGCTGCATTGTTGTAATTTGGATTCATTACATCATGTTTGCTTTAATCACATTGGTTATCATCTTGGAATGCATTTTAAATCCAATTTGGCATAAAATGTCTTTAACTTTAGGTTAATTTCAATCAATAATTCATTACGATCTTTAAATCACAGTTGGTTACAGCTAGGGTATTCCATGTAAAAGAACATCTGTGCACAGTATACATAGTGCAGACACAGTCAGAGAGTAGTATGCTCTTCTGTTAATAGCCAGTGAATTCTGTTTTACGTTCTATTTTTTTGGTAATAATATACAACACGCAGTATATACTGCGCAATGTGAAGAGCGCAGTGCGCTAGAATTCCATCGCGAGCACAGCCGGCGGTGACGTCATGGCCGCTAACATTCCTAAAGAATACTTTTATGCGAAAACACCCGACGATATTTGTATTTACAAATCACGATGGTTCACGACGACTGAGAGACGAACTTCGTAACGGTTAAAAAAAAAACCCACTACGTGTTGTCGAGTATGAGAAAAGGAATCCGAAATAATCAAGAGTTCCAGTTTGTTTTTTTTTAACAAACTTGGGATTTTTAAACACAAACCCTTAACACTCTTAACTATTTTGAAAAAGAGAATCAGCCTATCTTTTTAGACAGGGGTCAAAGGGCAGAACGAATCTGAGCACACACACAAAGATCTGATTGTGCTGCTGCAATTTCACATACAGACTTAAACGTGTCAAAAGAATCCAATTTCACTCCATTGTGATGATGACCAATCAGAAATGTTTCCCATACTCGCCTCTCTTTAGACCTATTGACCTACAAATCACATCTTGCCTCCGTCCTCTGCTGTCCAATTTTCTCCCAGTGTAACGACCATCTCACTTCACCTTGTTGACCCTGGACCCAAGATGTCACAGTTACGTGATGAGCAAACACAAGCGCAGGTGTAGTGATGGTCAGATGGTTTACAGGTTGGCCTCCCTCTTGTCTTTGCTGGGCGATGGCTTCATGGCATCTTTTCCAGGCTTCCCATTGGCTGGGGCGGCAGCGGCTGCGGCAGTGGGTTCCATGGCGACCACTGCGGCACGTTTGATTGGCTCGTCCGCTCTAGATCGTTCCTCTGGGCTGGGCTGGGAGGGCGGGGCCTGTTCGGAAGTGGGCGTGGATGTGAGCTCCTGCTGTAGCTTGTGAGTCTGAAGGAGGCGGAGCTGAACACGCAGTTCCAATATGGCCTCCTGTTCCTCATGGATGGCCTGATTCAGATGAGTGTTTTTATTCTGCAGTGAAACAAAAAGACAAAGATGAGACTGATGCATAGAATTCAATGAGTAGTTTAGGCCAAATGCTAAGAAGCAAATAATATAATTAAGTAATTAACCATTTACAGAAGCCAAGCAGGCTCTGCACATTAAAACTGGCTTAAAACAATCAACTTTCCTTTTCTTTTGTGATGTATATCAGAATGAAAACAATATACTTCTTGAGTAAGACAAAAAAAGTAGGATGGCACTTGAATTTGTCCATCAAAAGCTTCTTGAATATGTTTACTTGAAATAAAATACATATATATATATATATATATATATAACTTTTAGCTAGAAGCCAATTCAACATTTCTCATTTTAACTTTATGTACTAAAATAATTAAAACTGATCTAAAAATATATAAAAATTGGACATATTTACAAAAAAAATGTTTAATAAAAATTACAAAAACACAACAAAATTACTAAAACTTAAAACAAAATTAAAATGATTTTTTAAAATTAAACCAACATTAAAATATAAACATTAAAACTAATTCAAAATATTAATAAAAACTATACCATCTTAATGATATTAAAATAACTGTATGTTGACTATTTTTCAGCAGTTTTAAACATGGTTTATCCAATTAGATTTTAGAGCCGGAACTACTTGTTTTATAAACAACAGTTTTTTTTAGAACTCATTTAATAATAATAATAATAATAATTCTTCTTATTATTATTATTCTTAACTGACGTAATTCAGACAATGCAACAAAACAAGCACAAATAGGAAAGCTTGACAAAGTTAACAACAGTAACTAAAAAGGGTAGGACTCAGCAGTGGTCAATTAAATTTTAACGTTGTACTAGGGCTGTCAGTTTAACGAGTTAACTTAATTAATTACCGTATTGGCCCGAATATAAGACGACCCCCCTTTTTCTAGATGTACCTTTTGGAAAAAGGCTTTTTAAAAACCAAATCTTGTTTTTTTCTCAGTAAAACACATTTTGTCTTCAATTATTTTCATATTGTATATTTTTCCTATTTTAATTTTTGTTTTGAAAGTATGGTAAAATGTACCAACAATCACATTTAAAAAATATACACTTTTTGATATACCATTAAAAAAACCAGGTAGCTCATCTGAATTAGGACATTTAGGCTATTCATCTAATAGTAGTCTACCGAAATCTTATTAACAGTAGAAGTTAAATCTTACTTTAGTCTTCAAATCTGGGTACTGTGTTACGTTTTAAAATCATAAAGAGAGTTTGGTCGCATCAGGCTAATGTGACAGTCACGACTCATGCAGCTGTAAGCTTTTCTTTTTCTTTTGTTTTTACTCGCGATCTTTACAACACGCATTACATTACGTATTTCATGGCACGCTCGTTTTATGTGTATTTGGCGCCACCTATTGTTGTGGGTGTATTATTAACATGTCAAAGTCTAGACCCTGAATATAAGACGACCGTGTTTTTTCAGATGTATTTCCAAGAAAAAAAACATTGTCTTATATTCGGGTCAATACGGTAGTTATGAAAAATAACGCGATTAAAATATTTGAACGCAGTTAACGCACTGGCCCAACCCCCAGACCTGTACATCATATTACATTTTAATACAGTTGACAACTATGTTGCACGGCAGCAACTCATACGCAGTTATGCCCTAAAATTCAAGATATTGGTGCAAAAAATACCCCTGTATGAGTTTTTATCTCATATTTATATCATAAGCGATATCAAACGAGCAGTGAGAGCAATAGGCTATCTTTGCTGTTTTTGTCACGGAGAACATGAGTGCAAATGTGATTTTATACAACAATTCAGTAAATAAGAAGTTAATATTGTGTAATATTTTAAACACAATATTGTGCGTTTTTGTTCAATTTTGCCTACGAAAATATTACCTATAAAAGACACAGCAGAATTGTTGTGCGTCTCCAAGCAACACGGTGTTTAGTTTCTGAATGAATCCGCGTTTTGAACGAATCATGTGAATCAATGATTCAGTAGCCCATTCATAAAGAGAGCCGTTTATAAAGACATTTACTGCCACCTGCTGGTAGTTTTAGTTTCTTCTTTAGAGTATCATTTCATTTATTAAACAATAAATAAATAAAAAAACATTAAAGGATAGTTCACTAAAAATAAATAAATACAATTCTGTCATCATTTACTCACCCTCATGTTGTTTCAAACCTGAATGACTTACTTTCTTTTGTACTACATAAAATAAGTTATTTTGAAGACGGTTGGTAACAAAGCCTATCTTTGCTGTTTTTGTCACGGAGAACATGAGTGCAAATGTGATTTTATACAACAATTCAGTAAATAAGAAGTTAATATTGTGTAATATTTTAAACACAATATTGTGCGTTTTTGTTCAATTTTGCGAAAATATTACCTATAAAAGACACAGCAGAATTGTTGTGCGTCTCCAAGCAACACGGTGTTTAGTTTCTGAATGAATCCGCGTTTTGAACGAATCATGTGAATCAATGATTCAGTAGCCCATTCATAAAGAGAGCCGTTTATAAAGACATTTACTGCCACCTGCTGGTAGTTTTAGTTTCTTCTTTAGAGTATCATTTCATTTATTAAACAATAAATAAATAAAAAACATTAAAGGATAGTTCAATAAAAATAAATAAATACAATTCTGTCATCATTTACTCACCCTCATGTTGTTTCAAACCTGAATGACTTACTTTCTTTTGTACTACACAAAATAAGTTATTTTGAAGACGGTTGGTAACAAAGCTAACAAAGCTGTTTTGGTTACCAGTGACTTTCATTGTATGAACAAAAAATACTGAGATGTTTCTCAAATGATCTTCTTTTATGTAGATATAGGTAAAGGTACGTTGTAGCCTAAACATTTAACACAATAATAACTTTAAATTATCTTTTGGGGGTATTTTCACAGCCAAATTTAGTTTATTAAAATTATTAAAAAACTTAATCGACTGACTGCCCTACTTTGTACAAACAAAGTTCTCACCTCAAGCTCTTCGTTCTGTTTCTGCAGGTCTTCTAGAATCATCTGCAGTTCCTCTTCATCTTCACTCTCACTCTCGCTGTCTGATGAATACTCCTCTGTTTCACTGCGGCCCTGTTGACGGCTGTGTGTGTGTGTGTGTGTGTGTGTCATTTAAAGCAGAAAATGAACCAAAAATTTAGCCTTGAAGGGCAGAAGAGACTTTTCAGAAATGTTGCTTCCCACAGAAATCACATGATTATGATCATGTATTATTATAATTAGCAACAAATTTGATCATTTTACCTGTGTGTCAACTCTCACCTCTGTATATCTGCGATCTCCGCACGCAGTCGCTCAATTTCTTCTTTCTCTGTGGCAATTTGCCGGCGCAGCACCTGCTCCAGTGATATCAGCTCCTCCTGCTCTGTTAGGATCTCATTCTCCTGCAGGGGGCGGTAGAGAAACAAACCAAACATCACACAGAAATAATCTTCGGCTGCATCCCAATTCACAAGTGCACAAGTGCAAGTATGCAGCAAAATTGTAGAGTAGAATTGGAACATCCTAAATGACAGAAAAAAGACCCCTGTTTCACATGCTGCTTAGGTGTGCATGCAAGCATCTGCACATTATGTGTTTCTGTAGGTTCATGTGTTAAAAACGGCTCTGGCGAATACTATGCAAAGTACAATGATGCTTATCATTGACCAGCTGATTTGTTTATCTGTGTAGCCGTTTCAGTGTCGAGCCAGCATCTGAAACACGAGCAGGTGGCCTCACCTGAGCCAGGAGAAGATTAATGACTTCCTCCTCGTTCTCAGACATCTCCTCCTTTGATACGTCCTCTTTAGATAGACTGGCGATTTCCTGCGCGATTTTAGTCTCACACTCCTGCAGATTCAGAGGGACAGAGAACAAACAACACATGAGAATAATAAATAAGTATAATATGTGCTATTGGAGAACCGCTAATTAAACGTTACCGTTTTTGGCCAATGATTTCGGTTCTCCAAAACCATTTCGGCTGAAACTGAAAATGCATTTTTTTTTTTGCTCTTTCGGTGACATTTTTTGGTTTCCGAAATTTCACTATAACTCACAAACGAGACATCTACAAATCTTAGCTGTCCTAGAGCAAATGAGGCTGTTTTTTCCTCATGTTTCGTCTCTTGTTGCTTTGACTTTTCTCCTAGCTCTAGATGAAATCTCAACATCTCAAACTGTGTTCAGCAATCTGCAATCAAAGTCAGAGATTTCAATATGAATTTTTGTGTCTTATTCCTTCAACAGGTTTTTATGAGAAACATCTGAGACAAAGTTGACACATCTATCAAACTAAATTGAGAACGTTTCTCACAGAGAGCAACCTCCGAGCCATAAAATGTAGTGTTATTGTTATCTTGTTGAAATCATGTGACAACAGCCAGCTATAGATTCACACACATCAGGACTGTTTTCGTTTTCTCTGCTCCAGATCTGTTTTTGTTTCCAGTCTCTCCTCACTCACGAAGTTTGGATTCATCTCCTGTTTTGAATATCACACGCATTTCCTTGTTCTAAGGTCACATTTGCCTTTGACACAATAAAACAAATTATTTTATGTAAAACACTAAACTTTTTCCATCATACAGCTTCCTCTTCCAGGTAAATCATACGATCTGGATGAAAATCTTAACAGTCCTCACAAGATGCATTATTTATTACGCAAAATATAATTCCGTAATCTTTTGTTCAAGTTTTGGGTTGAACTGTGAACCATTAGACAGGTTTGTGAGATTGACCCACTTCTTTTATTTTAAAGGTCCCCTGAAATGCTTAGAAACACACAGCGTTACTCTATGTGTTGACGTCATTTTAACTGAAACAGGAAGACAGGGCGGGACATATCAAGCAGCCCCACCCCTTTTTAAAATAGCCAATAGCGTTTGTTTATATCACAGCTTGGGCTAGAGCCGTTGAGCTCCGTAAAGCCGCATTTGACAGTGTATGCCAGCCACAATCTCATCCATACTGCTATAAAATATAGCATTCTGTGTAGAATTCAAATAGCTCCAATACATTCTGTGGTCTGCGCCGACTCACGCATGTGATCTGCTCCGTGCCAGAGTGTGTGTGCGGTGCGGTGGATAGCGTGACACAACGCCAAACCAGACTTCTTTTTTTCCTCAATGGAAAGCACATTTACACGGTTTGAATCGTTCCCTGTCCCCTATATAGTGCACTACGTGCCATTTACTGTACAGAAAATACTAATTCTGTGGACAAGTGACCGATTTCAGCCGCGGCTTCAGCGTCTATTTTATAGTGTAGAATTTTATAGGATTCTAGAGAGCATTTGATTGGACAGAAAGTTTGATGAGAAGCTGAAGTACGATGTGACGTTGAGCCGTTTTGGCGGAAGTGACGAACTGCAAGCTTTGAATGCTTATATCTTCTAAATGCGAATTTTGTCACTGTTTTGGAGCACACTGCCTTATAGATAACCTTAAGACTAACATATTAATACTAACACCCAAAAAACTTTAATTTTGATTTCATGGGGACAAGTATAGGCCTATAGCTGTATTGTTTCAGTCCTGTGCCCCACCTGTCTGCGGATCTCTTCTTTAATGCTCTCCTGGGTCTCAGGTAGGGTCGGCATGGTGGCCATATTGGACCAACGCAGAGGACGGACGACCGGCTTCAGAACCACATCACCGAACAGCTCACGGACGTGAGTGAAAAACACGTACAGCACACGATTCCCGATCTACAAACCAGAGAGCATTGGACATAAAGGATTGATTTTGTGTCATACAGGAATACACAGCCATGGTGAACCTTAAAAAGGCAGAACCACCGTTTATGGGAGGTACATTCATTGTTATTGCCCAATCATATTCTCCCCTCTTCTCTGCATCATTTGCGGTCAGCTCTCTCCAATAAAAATGACCCCAAACAATGATCTCATTAGCAGTATGAGGGTACCTCTATCCTCCATGTGTCCTGAGAGACTATAAAGTAGGACAGCCCTCAGTCTGAGAGCAGAAATGCATTTAAAACCATCTACTGAAACACCATCAGTGATGATTAGCAACATTTCACTCACTATATTAAACATCTTGTACAGAATAAAATCTTTACTCTCTACTTCCATCCAGGGTACAAAATTCACTTTTTGGAAATCTGGACATACTTGAATATTTACAAAATATTGCACATGGAAAAAGGGCCAGTATTGCAACAAGCGAACATCACCTGTAGATCATAAACTCACCTGTACGGTGGGATTGAGCACAATAGAGATGTTCTGGATGTTCATCTTGGTGTCTGTCTCGCGGGCGATGACGTGGTCCATGTGAGTGATGAGCCAGGCCAGAAGGATTCTGCTCCCCGCTGGAACCTCCCCAAGGAGCCTCTGAAACTCCAGCAGTTTCTCTGCCTCGCTGGGCCGTCCGCAGGCCTCCTCGAAACGTGGGGCCAGCTCTTTACACATCAGGTTATCTGGCAGCTCTCGCAGGTACTGCTTCAACAGGCTGGCCACCGTGTGAGGATCATACTCCTCCAGACACGGACACTCCTCGCGATCGTACGCTGCTTTCAGCTCGTCAACCTTTGACTTCATACCTACAGGAACAACATGGGGGCAAGAGTCAAAAGCTGCAAGGAACATTTGATTTGGACTTTTCCATGCAGACAAAATAAAATCTGGCAAGGGGCATGTCTTCGTTGTCCGTTCAGATAAGCATGAAGTTAGAGCACTTTTGAGATAGACCTACAGTACGCATGCGAGTTATTGTATGGTTACTGAATTAAACATCATAAATAGAAAGTGGACTAAAATGCTGTCAAAAGTGATTCAAGCCCACTTTTAAGGTAGGAACAATTTAAATCTGGAAAAACAACTAGGCTGTTTTTTAATAATTTAAAGTGCTTTAAAAGTCTGAATTTGGACACAGATGTGAAAACACATTGAGATTGCACATGTTGACTTTTACATATACTCTACTGTTCAAAAGTTTGAGGTCTGTAAGATGTATTTTGTATTTTTTTGAAAGAAATAAACAGTTTTATTCAGCAAGGTTACTTTAAACTGATCAAAAGTGACAGTTAAAACATGTATAATGTAACAAAAAGACCTATATTTCAAGTAATTTATATTCTTTTAAAATTTTGAAAAAGAACTTGTGGAAAAAGAATCTGGTTTCCACAAAAAATACCAAGCAGCATAACTGATGGCTGCTGAAAATTCAGCTTTGCAACCACAGCCTTGGTGAGCATAAGAGACTTCTTTCAAAACATTCAGAAAATCTTAGAACCCCAAGCGTTAGAACTGTACTATAAATAATGAGGGTTTATTTGAAATGAGATAACAAAAAAATGGTTGGTAAAAAACTGGATATTCATTAGTCACTTTGTCTAATGGTTACATTGCCATCCCAAATTAGGGGGAAGGAAATAAGATCAAAGGAATATTCTGGGTGATTATTAGCTTAATGTTGATAATAATTTGACTTGAATCACTCACTTTTTATAATGTATATTATATTATATGCATTATATGTACATTAACTGTCTATTTTGAATAATTTTGGTTAAAATGTATATTAATGTGTCAGTAGATTCTATTTTGGTCACCATTTCTAATAATTAAAATAATAAAATAATTATTAATTATTAATATGAGGTCAGTGTTTTTGTGCAAGTTAAAATTATTGTGTGCAATAACTGAAAACATCCCAGAATATTCTTTAAATAAACAAACATGAGATTTCAGTTCACAGGAAGAAGGACAGGGCCATACCAGAGACACGATAGATGCCTTCACATTTCATGCCATAGCTCTCGATGTAGTCCACACACTCTCTGAAGACGGCTGGGAGCTGTATTCCGTCATACAGCGCCGTTCTCCTCACCGCTTCCGCTAAAGGCGCTCCGAAGATCGGCCGGAACGTCGTCGCCGTCTCCGTGACGATGGGTTCGGGCTCGGCGCTGGGCTTTTTCTTCTTTTTCTTCTCCTTCCACTGTTTCACGACGTCCGCTGCCGTCAGGTCTTTGGACTTCTTGTCCTTAGCCTTCTCCTCTTTAGGCCCCTTCTCCTTCACTTTGAAGTCCTTTTCTTTCTTCTTAGAGAAACTGGGTTTCTTGAAGACGTGGATGCCCTTGGAGCGCTTCATCTTAGACGGGCTCTCGGCCTCATCGGCAGAACTGTTCTCCTGGAACGCGGCGTATCCCTCGGCTAAAGAGAGAAGAGATAAGGTGAAGAGAAGAGAAGAGAAGAGACCTTCTTCCAATACCTGATGCTAAAAAGAAACAGTCCTATTAACGGCTGTGCAAAATTTACTGTCCCACCGTCTGTGTCTCTCAAGGTTAGGTGAGACTGAAACGAGCAGAACGAAACGAGAGCAAGAGAAAGACACTGAAAACTGCTCTAAAGAGGCAAGCTTACAATTTAGCAATATCCCCTTGTGCCAGCTCTTTTTTTTTTTTTTAAGTGATCTATTTCCTTGTCCTGACTTCACCCTGAGCAGAACAGTAATCAGCGGCTCTGACCCCGTCAGCCAGCATTCATGACCGGCCCCTCCTCAGCCACTATAACACACCTACAGGGATGGACAGGGTGTGTCTTTAAAAGCTCCATCCCTTCCTGCTTGTGTGCAATAGGCTGCTGCAGGGCGGCTAAATATAGCGGCAGGAAAATAACGAATTCACTCTGAAGCTGCACAGAAACTGGAACATTTGCACATTGAGGGCAGAAGTCCATACTATCAACTAGAGCTGGGATATACAGTTACAAAAACAATATCTCACTGGCCTTTTGATGATATTTCATATATAAAATACCATTCAAAATTTTGGGGTTGGTAAACATTTTTTTATGTTTTTGGAAGTCTCTTATAAGTCTCATCAAGGCTGCATTTGTTTGATCAAAAATACAGTAAAAACTGAATTATTGTTTAAAAAAATTACAAATAAAAAATGACTGTTTTCTATTTTACTATATTTTAAAATGCAATTTATTTCTGTGATACAAAGCTGAAATTTCAGCATCATTACTCTAGTCTTCAGTGTCACACATGATCCTTCAGAACTCATTGTAATATGCTGATTTGCTTTTCAAATATGCTTGTTACAATGCTGAAAAAGGCTTCAAATTTCAGATGAAATCGTGATACATTTTTCAGGATTCTTTGATGAATAGTAAGTTCAAACAGCAATTATTTGAAATAGAAATCTTTTGTAAGATTATAAATGTCTTTACTGTAACTTTTGATCAATTTAATGCATCCTTGTTGAATAAAAGTATTAATTTCTTTCAATAAAAGACATATTGACCCCATTGTTTGAATGGTAGTTTAGGTCAGTCATATTAATATATTGTGAATACTGGCTCTGGCCCATTACAAACTAGCGTCATACAGATTTCTGTACACAAAAGATTCAAGGATATCTTGTGCAAAGATTTACAGTGGCTCTAAAAGGAATTTAGACACTCAAAAATGTTTGAATATGAAATAATAAATATTTGAATCAAGAGCAGCTCAAATGCTACACAGGATTCAAACGAAACAGGATTATTATAGTTAATTAAAACTAAAAACAGAAAAAGAAATGAAAATAGAATAAACTTTAACTGAAATAAAATAAAATGTAAACCCATTTTATTTCAGCTAATTGCCAAGGCAACATTTCTCATTAACATTTAGCTACTAAAATAACTGTATTAAAAACTAATATATATTGTTACACAGTTATATAGTTTACATATTTAAAAAAAAACTAAATGACTAAAAATGTAACACAAATTTTAAAAGAAAATTAAGAAAATATATATATTTTTACAAAGCTTTAAATGAACTTTCTCAGTCCCAAGCCATTCATAACAACAAAAGTACCAATTAGTAGCACTTTGAGATACTTTCGTTCATGAAAAGTGATCTATTAATGTTTATGCTATTTGATTAAGTAAAACAATTAACTATATAACCATATTTTGTAGGGACACACACAAATACCAGCATAACAATCTCAAACACATACATATTTAATGAATCGGATCTCACTGAAAAGAATACGTAGCAAGAAACAGAAAATGAGGCATGGACTTGATTTGATCAGAATTGACTGGATCATAACAAGTGATCTCTAACAGGTAAGGGTCATTTAAGCGGAGCAAGTTAATACATATTGATATATAAAAAAAAAAGCATTACAAGAAAAACATGCAGCTATGAATCATTCAGTATAAGACCAGAAGCACATATTTAGACAGTAAATATGGTAATTTATGAGTTCATGATGACTTTAAGCTTAGTTTAATTCCCTAACAAAAGTCTCCAAATAATAACTAACAACCTACATCAATAATATTCATGTGGGTACTAGTTGTCAAATAACATGGACATAAATTTTTTTTTCCAGTTTTAATAATCTTTATTATTTTATTAGATTTTGTTTTTGCTAATCTAAACAAATGACAAATATTAAAGGGGTCATATGATGCTTTTTTAAAGATCATTATTTTGTGTATTTGGTGTAACAGAATATGTTGACATGCTTTAATGTTCAAAAAACACATTATTTTTCAAATACTGTACATTATTGTAGGTCCTCTATGCCTCGCCTCTCTCAAACGCTTCGTTTTCTACAAAGTCCCTCCTTCCGACAAGCGCAGTCTGCTCTGATTGGCCAGCTGACCCAGTGCACTGTGATTGGCCGAACACTGCAAGCACTCATCGGAAATGTAACGCCCCTTACCATAATCGCGAGCTTCATCTTTCAAAATAAATGTAAAGAAGGAGCCCGAAAGGGGAACAGAGTCACGTGACAGACACAGTGATGAAGCTGGTATGTGTTTGCAGTACACAAGCCACGGTTAAGACAGCTGACTCCACTGTGATGTGATGTGACCCTCCCTCTCTCTCGCTCTCTCTCGCGCACGCTCACTCGCGCACACACACAATGCACAAAACTCCGCATTTGAACAGTCAATAGCAAATACTTAAACTAATAACAAAACAGTAGCTGATTCAGAAGCGCCAGATTGTCATAGCAAAGTCAGAATGACCTCCTCTCCTAGGTTCACGAAACGGTCGTCCATAAAATGCATTGCTGTTCTGTTGTAAGTAATCTTAAAGATTTCTAAATGCATCTACTTTCGGAAGACCAAATAAAGTGCTTTTGCTTTCGCCTAGAAACACACAGCGTCTCCCTGACATGCTGCTTCAACACTAACTGCGGTTACTGAAACCACGCCTTCTTTCTTTGCGTGAACATTTGGGTGGCATTATGCTAATATTTCCACATAGTGAGGTAGATAGGTGGGGGCGTGTTAGAACGAGCCGTTTTAGGGGAGCGTGGCAGAGTCTTAACTTTGATAAAGAATATCTCTTTGGTTTTGAGACTTTAGTCTTTGCAACTTCAGGGATCTTATCTATGCACAATCAGCTTGTAACACTCCAAAGAGAAAGGAGAACTTGAAAAACGCATCATATGACCCCTTTAAGATAATTAAAATGTGCATGTAAAAGAATCCTACTTTGTACAATAAACCACACTTTTAGATGTTTAGGCTTAAGTATGTCAGAGTCACACTACTGAAGTTTAATGTCAACTTCCCATTTTATATATTATGCAATGTCTGTGGGCCCCTACCACATCCAAAAAACCGTCAGAAATCACATTACATGCAGAACAGAGTTAACAGATTTAACTCACGCAATCGTAGCGATTTAAATGCATTTTGACAGATCATAATTAACTATTTTCTCGACTAAGGAGCAGAATAAATCTCTCCTGACAGCAGCTGTTTCGTTGAATGAAACACAAGCCTGACCACATATGACAGAATAACTTCAAAACGTGTTAAAACAATTAATGAACCGCACTTAAAAGATGCTTTACCACCGATAAAAAACATATAATACCATCAGTGCTAATATAACATTCAAATGTAAGTTACATAAAGGAAGATTCTTAACCTAGCATGCTTGCTAACGAACTTCGGATTTTATGGGCAAAGATAACCTTACAAACTATTAAAAGACAAAAACACTGCATGAGCGAGAAAATAAACCATATTTCCGACAAAATCTTAAAGAACAAATACAAATATATTAAACAAATATAACCGTTCACAAACCTGCTATGATCAATGTAACAGCTGCACTTCCTGTAGCTTGTTTACGTCCCGTCTGACACGCGCGCATGCGCAGTTGGAGCCCCCTTGAATTATGGGAGCTCTAGTTTGAGTTCTCTGCACTTGTTTACATAGGTTTCATTTGATCAATTTGAGCAACTTGAGGACATTTCTGAGGATATTAATTTACATGACAAAATAAAATATGCTCGAAAGTATGTTTTACATATTGACTTTCTACATTATATTCAGTGTGTTCTATGAGCCCATGAGGCCAGCAGATGAAGCTGTTGAGCCACAGAGCAATAGTGCAGTGTTACAGTTGAATGAACGTCAGAAGAATATTCATATTTATGATAAGGGAAAAAACGTTCCCTAGTAACAAAAGCAGCCCTTCCTAGTTGTTCTTCCTCTGGTTAGGTCATTTCAGGGGATTGCTGTGAAATCACTTTCATGATTCAAGCATTATCATTTTGTTTAAGGTTGTGCAACTGATCTGATATGCCAGATAAGAATTTGGACATATTTTACGGCATCCATCATAAAACTGAAGCAGAGCATTCTTCAGAACACTTAACTGATAAATGCAGGGTTATGAGTCAGTGGTTACTGTTAGTGAACTGATAATTGAATTGAATTGATATACTATTATATTATATTATATTATATATACTTTCAAATATTAAAAAATTATAAAAACAAAGTTTTTGCAAATAAACTATAAATTATATATATATATAATTTTTAATTTTTTATACATTTTTATTTTATTTTATTTTTAGTTATTTTAGTGCATCAAGTTAAGTTAAATTAAAATGAGAAATGTTGACTTGGCAACTAGCTGAATAAAATAAGTTGTTTAATAAAATAAAATAAGTTTAAGTTTAAATGTAAAATTCTATTTGATTGCAGGTACCATTTCTTTTCTTTCTTTCTTTGTTTCTTATGGTTTTAGTTTTAGTTTACTATAATTGTACCCTGACTGGTACAAATCCAATGTCTGCTCATAACAAAATTCTGCCTCGATAAGAAGAGCATTAAAATTCAACATTCAGTGCAAATATTCTATTGTTGATTGTTTTCTGCTCAAAAAGCTTGACCTTTGAACTTTCTTCCATCTTGATGAAACCACATGACAATAAAACATGTTAAGAGCATCTGGCAGTAACAATGTTTTTCTTCACTGCATTCGGCCAAACAGTTTTCAAAAATTCATGACAGCTGTGGTGAGATGAGGACTCTGTGTAATATAACAACCTGGACATTTAAAAAAAAAAAAATAGTTTTTACTTCCTTGGATTTATTAGATGCCACTGCCAGAACATTGTTTCAGCGGACTGTGAATGCTGTTTAAATTGGTTTCTAGTCTAAAAAAAACCCACACACAAATACGCATTTGTTTTTCTTGACTTCTGTTGTTTTCATACTGAGTACCATCTTTGAGAGGAAACCAGTGGTGGACCTGAACATTTCCAATAGCAAAAACACTTTTTAAAACTACAACTAAAGCACGCATTTCTATTGTACGGATTAGAGCAGCTTTGACATTTTCATAACCTATTTTGTGTTCCACAGGTAAAGGTCACCTGAGTTTGAAGCGACATGAGGGTAGATAACAGAATTGA